GCAGCGGAGATCAAGAAGTCCCAGAAGGGGGCAAAATGCTGTCCCGCTGCATAAATAGAGATCAGCGAGAAGTATTTCTCTCTAGGCTTGCCGTGCAGTTTAGCAGTGATATAAAACTTTTGCGACCGGAATTGTGATTCATGACGTGTCGGCGATGTGCGAAGTTTATCACATTTATGCTGTTGACGTGAGGGAACATCTCGGCAATTAAAGTGCTGTTCTAACGTGGTGAAAACTTATGCTGGCAGTTCTACAGCAGCCTTACCTTGTCTGTAGCGATCATGGATGCTGCACGGGAAATCCCACCTTCCAGGTTTCACTGAGCACTAGAAGTGATATAGAAAAAGCAACACTATAGTATGTGTATAGAAATATAGGACTGCTCATGAAATACAAACCTAAGGGCTTTCATAAAAGCTAAAAGAGCATTCAGGGCTTTGTAAAACAGCTTCTTTTACAGGTACTAGTGTAGAGCTGAAATTCTTTTCCGTAGACAGTATTGTCAGGCCCCTATGAAATCTGCTGTGAAAGATAGTTAGCAGAGGTTGTTTTTCCCCCAAAATTTGGTACTACCAGTGAGAACACATCCCTGGAAGGTGTTCAGTATCAAAGATCTTGTACATAGAACCGTGTTAACAACTCGGCTCTGAAATATCCAGCATCTGTGAGAGCAAGCTGGTACAGGGAGCAAGTTATAGAGAGAAAGGAGGGAAAAAAATCCTCTGTTTTCAAGCCAGATTGATGGTGACCACTTGGAAGAAATAGTATCTTAGGGATAAAAGCCCGAAATGACACATCTTACTTGTCAGATTTCTAAACCTGTTGACCTGTGCTACATTTTTTACACAGCAATACTGTATTAAAGTAAAAAGTGGCGTCTACGGTTTTTTACAAGCCACAAGCACTTATAAATCACAAGCACCCAAATCTACCTCTGGAATTTAACATTGGAAAAACAGGTGTTACAGTGTAGCTGACAGTCATTTATACAAAAGTAAACCCAAAAGGTGCAAGGTTCTGTTAGACAACGAGGTCAGAGATTGCAGTGGAAGAGAGTGGTCAGTGCTCAGAAATTATGCCAGTTTGGATGTAGAACAAACAGGATGACTGTCACTGAGTAAAGAAGGTAGCACTCAAAAGGAGAGCT